TCCCAGCTACTCGGGAGGCTGAGGCAGGAGAATTGCCTGAACCCAGGAGGCGGAGGTTGCGGTGAGCCGAGATTGCGCCATTGCACTCCAGCCTGGGTAACATGAGTGAAACTCCGTCTAAAAAAAAAAAAAAAGCACGGTGAGCCAACGAGAACTTCCTCCTTTCTCAAGACCCCACGGCCATGTTTGCTCAGAAAAGTCTAGACTGACAGGTCTAAACGCTTTTGCTTTGGACGCTCCTGAAGCCCTGCCCATGCCCAAGCCCACTATGGAAGTGCAGGTCTCCCCTCCTTCTGTGCCCACCTCCTGACAGCCTCTGCTGGCTCCCTGCCCTCCCCACCTCTCACACTCCCTCCCTTGCACACCTCCCTCTGCAACCTTTAAAGGCTGAACATACTTGTGAAATACAACATCCAAAGACCCTGGTTAGATATTTTAACCAAAAGTATTTGCTTTTTCCTTTAGGTGACACAGGTCTCACGTGACGGGGATGGACCCAGAGTTCCTCAACCCTGGACCTGCTTTCCTAGACCTGCCAGTGATCAGGAACCTGGTCTGTCCGGACTGCTGACATCACTCCTCCACAATCCGCGCCTCCTCACCCCATCATCTCCCAACTCTGCCCTACTACCCGGCAGTTACCATTAAAGTGTCTTTGGGGAACAGGTTGCGGCTGGCGATGCGTGGGGCTCCTCCAGGGCCCGCCTGGTCCTGAGGGGCTGGCCCTCGGCGAAACCAGCTGCTAATGGCCCAGATGATGAAGATTCTGAGGAGAGAAGCAGCAAGGTGGTGAGTCCCCCAGCCTTGGCTCTCCGCCACAGACCCACCTGACTTCCTGCTGACTCAGCACATGCAGCGCCTGACCAGGACCTGGTGACCAAGTCAGGGAGCCCCTGAGAAGATAGTCGCAGGGCTGGCAGGAAGATAAGATGTCCCCAAAGACCACATCTGGGGAGAGAGCCCAGATGCCACCGTTTGACAGTGCGGGGGGGGTGGCAGTGCCCTGGTCTGCATGCAGACCCCCTGACTCAGTCCTCCAGGAGCTCCTGGTGAGCATAGGGCTGCAGGGGCTGACTCTCGAAACCTCAGACTGGGAAACCTGCCATCCAACCCCCGAAATCCCCCAAGAGGATGCTAAGAATCTGGAACCCCTGGCCGGGCACGGTGGCTCACGCCTATAATCCCAGCACTTTGGAAGCTAAGGCAGGTGGATCATGAGGTCAAGAGATCAAGACCATTCTGGCCAACATGGTGAAACCCTGTATCTACTAAAATCACAAAAAAATTAGCTGAGTGTGGTGGCACACGCCTGTAGTCCCAGCTACTCAGGAGGCTGAGGCAAGACAATGAATTGCACCCGGGAGGTGGAGGTTCCAGTGAGCCGAGATCATGCCATTGCACTCTAGCCTGGAGACAGAGTGAGATTCCACCCAAAAAAAAAAAAAAACCAGAATCTGGAACCCCTTCAGTGTGCAGACGGGTGAACTAAAATAAATAAATTATAAATAATAAACATTAAGATTTTTAAAAGAAAAAATCTGGAATCCCAGCACTTCAAAAGCACAGAACTGGGGATTGTTAATGGCTACAAAGAATAGAAAGAATGGGGCGGGCGCGGTGGCTCACGCCTATAATCCTAGCACTTTGGGAGGCCGAGGCGGGTGGATCACGAGGTCAAGAGATCGAGACCATCCTGGTCAACAAGGTGAAACCTCGTCTCTACTAAAAAAATACAAAAAATTAGCTGGGCATGATGGTGCGTGCCTGTAGTCCCAGCTACTCGGGAGGCTGAGGCAGGAGAATTGCTTGAACCCAGGAGGCAGAGGTTGCAGTGAGCCGAGATCGTGCCATTGCACTCCAGTCTGGGCAACAACAGTGAAACTCCGTCTCAAAAAAAAATAAAAAAATAAAAAAAGAATAGAAAGAATGAACGAGATCCAGTATTTGACAGCACAACAGGGCCACTATAGCCGACAGTAATTTAATTATATATTTAAAAATAATCTGGCTGGGCGCAGTGGCTCACACCTGTAACCCCAGCACTTTGGGAGGCTGAGGCAGCTGGATCACCAGGTTAGGAGTTCAAGATCAGCGTGGCCAATATGGTGAAGTCCCATCTCTACTAAAAATACAAAAATTAGCTGGGTGTGGTCGAGGGCACCTGTAGTTCTAGCTACTCAGGAGACTGAGGCAGGAAAATTGCTTGAACTCAGGAGGCGGAGGTTGCAAGTGAGCTGAGATGGCACCACTGCACTCCAGCCTGGGTGACAGAGCAAGACTCTGTCTCAATAAATAAATAAATACACAAATAAATTTAAAAGTATAATTGGGTCTGGTGCGGCAGCTCACACTTGTAATCCCAGCACTTTGGGAATCTGAAGCAGGCGGATTCCTTGACCTCAAAAGTTCGAGACCACGCTGGGCAACATGGAGAAACCCAGTCTCTACTAAAAACACAAAAATTAGCCAGGCATGATGGCAGATGCCTGTAATCCCAGCTACTGGGACGGTTGAGGCAGGAGAATCACTTGAACCTGGGAGGAGGAGGTTGCAGTGAGCCGAGATCATGCCATTGCACTCCAGCTTGGGAGACAAGAACAAAACTGTCTTAATAAAAAAGTAGTAGTAAAGGATCTTGGATTTGCAGGTCTAGGCAAAAAAAAAAAAAAAAAAGTAAAGGAGCCTTATAAGCTTCTTCATGTGCCTGAGGACATCTGCTAGGTGTTTTCATAGGTGACAAAAATGCTAGCCTAGGCTGGGCGTGGTGGCTCAGCCTGTAAGCCCAGCATGTTGGGAGGCCTAGGTAGATGGATTGCTTGAGCCCAGGAGTTTGACACCTGGGCAACACAGACATTGTTCCTACAAAAACTACAAAAATTAGCCAGTTATGGCAGCACATAGCATGCCTATAGTTCCAGCTACTCAGAGGCTAAGGTGGGAGAATCACCTGAGCCCAGGAGGTAGAGGCTGCAGTGACCCATGACCATGCTACTGCACTCTAGCCTGAGCGACAGAGCGAGACTCTGTTTCCAAAAAAAAAAAAAAAAAAAAAAGAGAAAAGAAATGCTAGCTAGCCCAGGGCACATATGACATATAAGGTAACCAGAGACCTACCCTACAGGAAACTAAGACCCAGCAAGGCACAAGCCTCCACCCTAGGAAGGAGGGAACCAGGCGGCCTGCCCATTCCCAGGAGTTGCACACCAGGTACGCAGGGCCAAGTATACAAAGCCACTCGTGGGACAAGAACTCAGGCAGGGCAGCTTAGGCCCAGAACCTGGTACAAGGAAACCTAGGTGTTGGTAACGTCCCCACGCAGCCGGCAGCAGCAAAGGTAATCCTCTCTGTAGGAAAATATGCTCATCCTAGCCCTGAAATTCCTAGAAATAACTTTTCAATATAATGCCCAGGACACAGACAGAGATAAGCCAGGCGCAAATGAAAACAAGACATTATGAGTGAGAACCAGCAGCAACAACAGATACCAAATACAAAAGGAGGCCTGGGCGTGGTGGCTCACGCCTGTAATCCCAGCTACCTGGGAGGCTGAGGCAGGTGGATCACCTTAGGTCGGGAGTTTGAGACCAGCCTGACCACCACGGAGAAACCCCGTTTCTATTTTTTTTTTTTTTTTTTGAGACGGAGTTTCGCTCTTGTTACCCAGGCTGGAGCGCAATGGCGCGATCTCGGCTCACCGCAACCTCCGCCTCTTGGGTTCAGGCAATTCTCCTGCCTCAGCCTCCTGTGTAGCTGGGAATACAGGCACGCGCCACCATGCCCAGCTAATTTTTTGTAGTTTTAGTAGAGACGGGGTTTCACCATGTTGACCAGGATGGTCTCGATCTCTTGACCTCGTGATCCACCCGCCTCGGCCTCCCAAAGTGCTGGGATTACAGGCTTGAGCCACCGCGCCCGGCCTAACCCCGTTTCTATTAAAAATACAAAAAATTAGCCGGGCGTGGTGGCACATGCCTGTAATCCCAGCTACCTGGGAGGCTGAGGTAGGAGAACTGCTTGAACCCGGGAGGTGAAGGTTGCAGTGAGCCGAGATTGCGCCATTGCACTCCAGCCTGGGCAACAAGAGCGAAATGCTATCTAAAAAAGAAAAAAAAAAAAAAAAAAAAAAAAAAAGAGGCCAGTGGCTCCCACCTGCAATCCCAGCACTTTGGGGAGCTGAGGCGGGTGTATCACTTGAGGTCAGGAGTTCGAGACCAGCCTAGCCAACATGGTGAAACCCCATCTTTACTAAAAATACAAAAATTAGCCGGGGGTGGTGGTGGACACCTGTAAACCCATCTATTCAAGAGGTGGACGCAGGAGAATCACTTGAAACGGAGACAGAGTTTGCAGTGGGCCGAGTCTGGAAGACAGATTGAGACTTCATCCTAAAAAAAGAGTGTCCTTAAAGAGAAGAAATATTCCTTCTTGATTTCTTCTTCCCTCCTGTCACCTGGAATGTGGATGTGATGGCTGGATCTTCAGCAGCTGTCTTGGGCTATGAGGATAAGGGGCAAAACCTAGCAATGGTGGAACAACCAGCAGGAAGGAGTCTGGGTCACAGAAGATTTCAGAATCCTCGTCTGCCTCCATCCAGACTGGTGTATAAGAGAGAAATGAACCTCTGCTGTGCTAATGGAGGTCTCTTGGTTGCATACAGCCATGTGATTATTAAATGATACAAGTACTTATTAATTATAGTATTAAAGGACCACAAGCAGAACAGGTTAAGAGCCCAGCCTCTAAACTCCAATATCTTTGTCTGAAGCCCAGCTCTGCTACTTACTGTGACCACAGTGGTCAACTTCAATGGCTGAAACGGAGATAATAACAGTGCCTATCTCGTAGTTTACAAGCATTAAATGCATTACATTATACATATATGTTTTGTAGTGTATATATATATGAAATACACACACACATATTCCTCAGAATGGAGCCTGGTACATACCCAATAGGTGGCTTGGAAGTTTTAGCTATGACTGTTACTTTTTGGCATACCAAAAACTTTGGAGTGGAAAAACACTCAGCGAACTCTAGTGTGGGTGGGGTGCCTCCCTGCTGAGCCCTGATCAGGGGCAAGATCAGGCACAGGGACTTGCCTCTGCCTGTAGAGGCCACAAGACCCTGGGGTCCAGGGTCCCAGGGGCCATGGCCCAGCTGAACCATCTGCTACCTCCCCAAGTAGTCCTTGATACGTACTGCTGGGGAAGGTCTGGAACTGGCAATCTCTGGTGAGACCAATGCCTCCAACAGAGGCTCCCCTTTTAGTAAATACACCAAGGGAGGGTGTGAGCAGGCAGCCTGGCCCCTGGCTTAGCTTGTGGCCTGCGGGGGATATAACAAGAAAGAGTGTGAAGCTGGGATGCCCACAGGCAGCTTGGCCCCTGGCTTAGTGTGTGGCCTGCGGGGGTCCTAACCCCTCTGGGCTTCCAGGTCCCCGTATATTAAACAAGGCCAGGCCTTTTTGGATTCCAGATCCCCAGTCCCCCAAAGAACATCTGTGTATATCCACACCCACAGCTCTGTGGACCCTCTCAGAGGGCTCATGGCCACAGCCCTTCAGCCATGCATCAGGCCTGCAAGAGACTGGGCCTTTCTAATGCTTTCTGATGTACTTGAGTAAGCCAAGAAAACAGACATTAAATCCTCTCTCCCACCCCAAATAGGTATTTGACATTCACAGGTTCAGAAAACTCTTTTTTTTTTTTTTTTTTTTTTTTTGAGACGGAGTTTCGCTCTTGTTACCCAGGCTGGAGTGCAATGGCG